TATGTCTTATGATATTGGTTTATGTCTACAGTTGATTTGGTAAGCGTAGACCAATAGAAGAAAGCATAAAACATTTAGTAGTGTAGTGTAATTGTATGATGGAATACATGGCGAGAAAGGAGATGTTACGTCAGTGACCAGAGGGTCTGACGGCAGGCAATGTCTAGCTTTAGAGTATATAGGTCAAGGTTGTGGGATGATCAGTCCTCACAACCTTGTAAGCTATTACGCTACTTTGATCCTATAAAGTAAATACATTGTTTCACTCTAAACCGTTCGTGAACTAAATTAGTTACTCACAATATATATATACTATATATATATCCAGAAGTACACACCTTGAGTGTTGATATTTCGGCGTTGAGGATTTGTAAGTTCACCAAGCACGCCTTCTTGAGGCTTGCCAGTTCAGTCTCTACATCTTCAACATCGGAAAAGTACTGCGCGAGCACTTTGGCTAAGTAGTGCAACAGAGTGGACTTGTTGTCATTGCTCTTGGTGTTTTCCAACTGCGTGTGTGTGGGTGTGATGTGATGTGATGGTAAAAGTAAAGGGAAAGTGAAAGGTATATGAGCAGATTGTAACACAGAAACAAGCACAAAGGGTCGTGTGTGATGTGATGTGATGGAAAAGGTGGAGGTGAAGGTGAAGGCAAAGGTAAAGGTGAAGGTAAAGGTAAAGGTAAAGGTAAAGGTAAAGGTAAAGGTAAAGGTAAAGGTAAAGGTAAAGGTAAAGGTAAAGGTAAAGGTAAAGGTAAAGGTAAAGGTAAAGGTAAAGGTAAAGGTAAAGGTAAAGGTAAAGGTAAAGGTAACGGTAACGGTAACGGTAAAGGGAAAGGGAAAGGTCGTATGAACAGTCAGAAAGAGAGAACCAAACACGGAGGAGACCAGGTAAAAGCTGTGGCAAATCAGCACATGCATGGATTGATTCCCGTGGGCGATGGTGCAAGAGTTATGTGTGAGCTGGGTGGGTATGTATACATGATATACATAGTGAGAGACTTTATGTGTTATGCACTCTATACCTACTGACACCTTAGCAAGATGGTAGACATAGGACTTAGGGTTTTAGGGTTTAAAAACGGTAGATTTAGAAAACAAGAGGAAATTCCTTTCCATACTCAACAGGCTCGTGCATACGCAACAACTCGATACCTACACACATTGGGTGCTGGCCTATTCTGACGTCAATAGTACTGAGGTGCGCTACATAGACTATACACAGTCTCTTATACACACATCCGCTTAGTACCTACACATACCTACACACATCTGGATAAGACGATCGATTGAAGAGATGTTATTGCAATTACTTCATACACAGCTATATAGGCCCATACATATACAATACCTAGATACCTACGCACACCTTGGTGATGGTTGATTTTAACGCAGATAATGGAACGTTTCCCTTCATACACAGCTATGTAGGCCCATACACATACAACAACTAGATACCTACACACACCTTGGTGAGATAGTCGATTTTAAACCCGTGCACAGCACCAACACTCTTAATCGACGAGTTCATGTAGTTACCCAGAAGCAACACCACCTCCAAAATCTTGGCCAATTTTTGGCTTTTTCGGATCTCCTCCGACGCTCCAATAACGGCTTCCACTTCCTGAATTTGCACAATTATTTTAGGGGTTTTAGGGGTTGAGACATCAACTTTAGCAAATAGGCAAGGCACGGTGTGACCCAAAAATAGGATTGTGTTGATTTAACAATGACATAGAAAGTACAAGAACAACAAAATTAGGATTGTGTTAATTTAGCAATGTCATAGAAGGTACCAGAACAATCAACTGACAAACAACAGCCTCCACTCGCTCTGTGTCCCATTAAACAAGGAGGAGACTTTTTTTGGCAATATATAAAACCCAAGACGCAATGAAATGTAGTGGACTTGATACGTTATGGTTTAATTCAACGCAATATCTATGCCCATCTGTTTGACCCAACCAAGTAGAGCTTATGGAGCTACAACAGACCCCCCAGAAGACCCCCCAAAAGACCCTCTCTCGGGGAAAATATTCGGTGACCATACGCACCTGTTTGACTTCGACGAAGCGCTCGCTGAACTGCTTGGTGAAGATCATCAGCTTAATGCGTTCAGGATATCTAGGGACCTCTGTGTGCATCTGTGAGGTGATGGGGAGAGATGGACTACATGGTGTTAAATATACATGTATATGCAGGGATGGTTATGCATATGAATAGATCTACCTTTATATGCATGGATGGTTTTGTATATGAATAGATCTACATGTATATGAATAGATCTACATGTATATGCATGGATGGCTGTGTGTAAAAATGTGTGTTGGTTCTGCGCCCTTGTGTGTTTAATGTGTGTCAAATATACAATCAGCATATGCACGGAGCCTGTATGTATACCCATATGTATGAGTGCCTGTATATATACCCTTATGTATGAGTGCCTGTATATATACCCATATGTATGGTGCCTGTATATGTATTACATAATGTGTGACAGATACACACCCGCGATTATGGATGCGTGTATATACGTTAATGTACGTATTTGATGCATACGTCTATTCGCGAACATGGTCAGCTCTGTGCACACACAAACAGCCAATCAGAAAGGTATAGTCACAGCCGTGCCGTGACAAGCGTTTACAAAAGAGTACAAAGGAACTTACTCTAGAATTTACTCCAGAATGGGTGGAGATAAAACAGCTCCTAGAGCACATACCGCGTGTAAGAACTTATCGGCTTTACTGAGGCGTTCGTAGACGTCCTTGCTCGCAGCCAGACTGGCCAACTCCTCTTTATCGGCCACATATTTTTCCTATATTTGGAAAATATATGTGTGTATGTGGGGTGGAGGGGGGGGTATTTTGGGTCTTAATTTATTACAATTGAGGGAACGAGAACAGAAAAAGTGGCGATAGAAAGTACAAAAAGGTCAGTCTTGATAAACTATCGAGATGAAAAGATGCACACAGAGGTAGAGTATTTGTAATCAATTGCATTAGAC